AAAAGAGGAGACTGTTCTTGAAACAGACACCTGGGTGGATGAAGTCTCCTGCTCACAGAATCTGGGATCCCGAGCCCAGGTGATGAGCTCATTCTGACAGCTGGACTCTTATGTGATTTTTCAGAAAATTTTAGCCCTGAGCAGGGAAACAATAGACAAATAGCTGGTCTCAATATATCTTTTTGCCTTTTTGCCTTTGGCAGGATCTGGGCATAGTATAATCATCACACCTCCAGGAATAACTATTTATTTAGTCAAAAAAATATAGTGCATCTATTGTTCCGGGTTCTGAATGTAAATTTGTTAACATTACCTTGTCTTGTGGTGATTATGTCTGAATTTATTGCTGATCACGTGTGCCCATGTCCTCAACTAGAACATAGAAATTGGCAGACAGGTAGAATGGACTACTGCTTTTCCTTTATTTTTTAAAATATTCTGCTTGGGCAAAGCTAATTCAAGTTAGCATCCTTTATAAATACAGTAGCCTAATGGTTAGGTGGTGTTCACTTATAAGTAACTTCAACTATTTGGAAGAGTGTCAACTGCAGGAACAAAAGGTGCCTAGACTATCCAAATAAGTACAAACCTATGTCACTTCCTCATGGGAGAAACCTTCAGAATCACTTACCACTTTTAGAGGCTGATCTTGCCCAGGTAGGGAGAAAAAGAAGGAAGGGGCACATTGACCAAGCACTAGCTGTGGGTCAAGTATGACCAATCAGGCGATTTCACTGTATCCTTCCCCAAACGTGGAATGTGAGTGTTACTAGCCTTATCTCATATAAGAAGAAACAGGACCCAAGGGTTTTCAGTGTGATCTATCTGAGGGTTAAACAGCTGGTAACCAGCAGAGCAGCAACCACCCACATTCTGTCTCATCTCACTATTTTGATTCTAGACCACAGGACTGGGACATGCCTGTGTATGAGTTTCCCAGCCGATATCAACTTCAAAGCAGCAAATTCCAAGGATTAGTTTATCTTAACAGAGTCAGGCAGAGGAACGGCAAAAATGAGTGGCAGGTGAGAAAACCTGGAAATGAAGGAGGAGACGAGGGAAGTTTCAAAAGCACTCAAGAGGATGCAGAGCAGAATGGATAGAAGAGCAGAATGGATAGAAGAGCAGAATGAAACACCCAGCAGGGGAACTTACAATCCCTGCACTCATTCTTGTTCCCTGAGATTTTAACACAATTGTTTTGATAGTCATAATGATAAATGCCACTTCTCCATTAATAAATGAGTATGTTAACTTTGGTTTACTTTAAGATAAGGAACTATTGTGTAAAACAACTCAAAATATTGCTATCCAAGTAATTCACATTGTCAAAATATTTTTAGTTCAGTTACCTGTAACATTTATCTATAAGAAACTATTTTCTCCATGAAGCTAAATACAGGGAACTCACTCCTCAACAAAAAATGTGCTGTATGTAATATGTTACATAATGAGTTTTATATGTATACGACTACATACTCATATATTACATTTAAATTTCTGAGACTTCCCTAAATATTTTTTCTTATACCAAATTGATCATTTTATCCATTTAATGGTACTTGATATATTGGATCAAATATATTCAATTTTATAATATGTAAAATATATCCAAGCTTAAAATATATCCAAGTTTAAAATATATCCAAGTTTAAAATATATCCAAGGAAAAACTATTTTTTATTCATGATAAAATTAATACCATTCATTCTGCCATTCTGCATTTAAGATAGGGCTAAAGATGTGTCCAAGACATCCTGCCCTTAAACTTTGTTTTTTTGCTTTTGAGATGATGTTTCACTCTTGTTGCCCAGGCTGGAGTGCAACGGCATGATCTTGGCTCACCGCAACCTCCGCCTGCCAGGTTCAAGCAATTTTCCTGCCTCAGCCTTCCTGAGTAGTTAGGATTACAGACATGTGCCACCATGCCCAGCTAATTTTGTATTTTTAGTAGGGATGGGGTTTCTTTATGTTGGTCAGGCTGGTCTTGAACTCCCGACCTCAGGTGATCTGCCTGCCTCGGCCTCCCAAAGGGCTGGGATTATAGGCGTAAGTCACCGTGCCCGGCCCCTTAACTCTTTTATCGCCTTGTAGAGAGACCACTGCAGTTGACCTTTTTTGACTATTCATTCAGTCAAAAAATATTCATTGAGATCCTAGTCCACCAGATATACCCTAGATGCTGAAGACAAAAGGGTGAATAAGAAAACTGAAATTCTGCCATCTTGGGCTTTGCTGCATAAGAGGAGAGAGAGAGACTGCATAATCAATTGAACAAACACTTATTTAATCACCGGTGTGGTCAGTGCTCTGGAGAAGGACTAGGTGGACGGCTACACATGAGGAAGGATTTGATCCAGTTTGGGGAATTGAGCAAA